AAGCAAAGATGACTTGTGGCAAGTACTGAGTACAGACAGACCCACTAATGGATCCACGGAGGAATGAGACAAGAAAAACAGGCAAGCAAAAGCAATCATAAGTTTGCTAGTTGAAGACAACCAGCTCATCCACATTAGAAAAGAGAATTGTATTACAAAAACTGCATGAGCAGCTGTCACATGCCGACTCTATAGCTCAAGAACTGAGCGATCACAAACCGCTGATCATTCAGTTCATGGTTTCTCCCTGCAGAGAGCAGGGCCTGTCAGTTCACATACCTTGCAGGATGCTGTCAGCAAACAGTGGGCAGTAACCTGCTATATGCTGACTTTGGGTCACAGGAGTACAATAGTAAATGTACTCCTGTGACACAAAGGAGAACCGTAGCCAACAAAAGGTTTGCCTATAGTACACTTTTAACTAGATGCCATTCACTAATGTGCAAAGAGCATGTAGCATGACTTTTGTACACACTTTGCTTCTATAGCAGGTCATTCTGCACTGGGTAGCACTTTTTGTCTTCTAAAACATTTGCAACTTTCTAAGGGGAAGCATCTGGGCTGACATTTTTTACCTGCTTGCTTATGAGATGAAAGTTGGCTTGATGGGACAAATTATTTGAATACATTTGAGTGGGAGGAGTGGAGTTACATCTTTTGAAAACATGCCAGAACAAAATTCTTTTTAATCTCTCCAAGAGCTTTGATTTTTTTTTTCTGCCATGTCATTAGAAGAGATAGAAATCAGGCTTTATCTTGTTACATTACATTTATCTGATACATTTACCCCCATCTAAGACAGATGGGGCAAGGGGCTCAAGCATGACAGTAATACTTAAAAGGTCTGTGGAAAGCTGAAAGAGATTGCGTCCCCAATCTCCTTCTCCTCTGCAGTCCCAATACTCACTGCACAGGAAGGACTCAGTACAGAGTGCTTCCTGTTCATTCAAAAACTTAGGAGATAGTATGCTTACTATCTTCCCTATTATGAATGGACAGGAAGTGATCGGTTCAGTGCGCTTCCTGTACATTCATAAACATAAAAAAATAGGACATTTACTATCTCCTCAGTTATGAAGGAACACTGGAGTGTTCACAGTGGCACTGTATTTGTAGAGCAAAAACATAATTCAAACGAAGAAATGGGGGCCATTATCAGCCTCCACTGATAGGTTTTAATTGTATTTTCACCCTACATAATAGCATAGGGGACCCTCCAGCATGCTAGTCTGCTCCTGTTCTTCAGCATTTTCAGCAACAAGGGAGTGATGCCTCTCTGCCCAAGGCTATGAGGGAGCAAAACATGCAAAGCAAGTGAGTGCCTTTGCCTGTTCTAGCAATCCCATCACTGGGGAGTTCTCGCCAGCACAAAGATCGCAATTGTGAAATTAGCCTAAAAGCTGAATATAAATCAATATCTATTAAGAAGCTAAAGGCAATTTAATATATTCTTACATGAGCAAGCAGTCACTGAAACAGACCATTAAAGATATAAACACTACACCTGAAAAAAATAAGTCTGGATGGTTTTTGACTACATTAACTAAGCTCTCTATGAAAAAGCTCAAATTGGCAAAATAAAACTCTGTCTGACCCTCAAGCCATAAGCAGGAATCCAGTTCCTAAAACTGGCCAAACCACCCAAATTGACAGGCTTATTGTACTACTCTTATCACAGAAACGTACTGCAACAGAACTGTTGCAGCTATAACATTGTTAAAACTAAGCAATGAACCAAATGAATATTATAATATAACACTACCATGACCATGTTGTGATCTTTGGTGCACATCTAACCTTGGAAGCTTACTTTTTCTGTGGCTCCTTACCTGAACTGCATTTCACAGCTTCATTAGCCACTCAGTAAAGTCTGCCCTAGGAGGCTGCAGTTGGAATTTTTAGACCCGCACATACATACTAGGGCCAATTTAGACAATAGCCAATCAGGATTTTACAGGCAAAATCCTTACTAGATCTCGGTAAAGAAAATATACAATTCTATAGGTCCATACTTTTAATTAGTACAGAATTTACATTTATGACAAAAATTACAGATATTAGACTATAGACTGTTTTAAAAAATGGAATCACTCTTTGAGGAAGCATTATCCAAATAGTCTTTAATAAAGATACTGCTTTTCATGCCAAAAGTTATATGGCAAAGACTAAGGGGTTAATTTCTTCCAACCAACATATAGCTTGGGGAATGCCATTAACAGAAATTCATATGCTCCTCTAGTGGTGGTAGTGTAATGCGAATGGCATTCGGCCATGTAAACAATGAGTGGAGGATTTATAAATCAGTTTCTTAGACACAATTATGCCAAATATAAATAATCAATAAAGTGCAACAACATTGTTTTATAAATCAAGTCAATTGGGTTATTTTTTTAAAGGGGAATGTTCACTATGAATAAATGCAAGGGAAATTAGAAAATTGATTTTTGCTTGCATTTAAGTTGATGATTAAACACAGCTTTACCTTATGCGCTAAGCTAAGTGAACATTCACTGTGATGTAAATCAACCCCATTAAGTAAGGGAAATTTTGGTTCCACTCACAAAGGGAAACTAAGCGTGCCCATACTTTATGCGAACTTCGGACATTGTTTGAGGATCAGCTGATCGAAGGAGCTAGCCGGAAAATCTTCGTATGATCACAGTTGGCAGCCAATTAGCTGCCGGCTCTGCTCAGGTATTCAGTGGCCGCAGGAAAACAGCGGGATTCCTTAATCGACACACTCCTAAGTGTTGTTGGAGCAATCTACTCTATTTTTCTCGTTTAGATGGTGGGTTGATCGAAAAAAATAGAGCAATGAATGGCCAGCCTAAATCAGAGAGTAGCACAGAAGAGGGTTTTTTGGCTAATAAAATTCAATACGAGGTATCTTGTTTTGTCCACTCTTAGGCCAGAGTTTTACTTTTAAATATTTTTATTTGTAACAAGGTATTTATTCGGTTTCCATAGGTAAAAGAGACATTGCATATAGGGTTCAATACAGTTATCATACACATGTCAAAACGAATATGAAGATTCAAATTGGTTACAATTATTATATGACTGTCTCTATAAACAGAAAGTGATCATAGAAATGTTTTAGAGAAGGGTAGGAAGGAGGAAGAGTGGGAAAGGAGGGTGGATTGGGTATTTGGTCCATTGGCGTGATGACATTACTGGTTGCGTTGACTTTTAAATGTTTTAAAGTTAGTACAGGCTCACTTTAAGGATGTAGAAGACAAAAGGGAACAGAGCGCCACCTCCGTGTGTAAAATCGTTTATTAGGATAAATAAAACAAGGGAAAAATGTACTCACAAACAAACGTTTTCATCAGGCTTTAACAACAAACGAGAGGCCACACTGTCTGTTAACCCAACATGGTATCACCCCGACTATCACTTGATTCTGATGAAGGGGGCTTGCCCCAGAAACGCGTCAATCTTGGCTGACTGCGGCCGGTAGATGGTGATGTGACCGGAAGCTACCGTGTTACATAGTCGGGGTGATACCATGTTGGGTTGTTCATTGTGGAAGCCCGAGAGCCTTGGATGAACAGTCCCTCAAGTCTGTGTGAAAACTGTTGATAACTTTGAGTATGCAACAGCAAGTGGATCATTCAGCTGGCAGCCATTAGCGCCAAGAGTTAAAGAAAACTTTTTGTCACTGTAAGGATGGTTAAAGGAGAACTATGAGGTGAGTGCTTTACCCTCACCTCATAGTTGTAGCCGACCTGTGACAATAAGACTGTCACAGGTCGGCTCAGTAGATCGGGAGGTGAGCGAACACATACCGGCGTTCGCTCACCTCTCGATCCTCTTCACGGCTCTCTGCCGTGACAGGGGAGGGGCTGGATTCCCCCCCTCCGTGCTCCGATCCGCCAGCGCTGCTGGCGGAACGGACGGGGGATGGGGCGGGTACAGCTGGCTCTGCCTCTAGATAGGCAGAGCCAGCTGTCAGTCATGCAGCTGGGCGGATCCCAGCACAATTGTCGTGATCCGCTTCAGCTGCGACGTCTCAGTATACCGCGAGCAGCAGCAGAGATGCCGCAGCTGAAGCGGATCCCGACAATATACTAAGCCTAGGGTGACGGGTGGATGCTAGTTTGTGTCCTCCCGTTACCCTAAGGAGAACTATGGGGAAAAGACTTAACCCCATAGTTCTCCTTTAATGTACCAAATGCAAATTGTGCATAGTGCTTACGTGCAAGTTTCATAATTCATGTTATGATGCTAACATGAACATTTATTCTTGCCTATTACAAGCAATCATTGATTTCTACAGTCTTTGAATTAATAAGAGCAACAAGAAAATTACTTGTTAGCACGCTTTTCTTGCTCACATACAAAAAAAGAGACATATATTACAATTTACTTTGCAGTTTGCTGATTATGTAACTGATAATTAAATGCTTTAGACGGTAACAATTTTGGCCTTTATGTCAAGTTATGTCTTGCTTAGACGCAGAAGAAAGCAATAACAGCAGATCTTAGCCTATAGAATAATTTTGAAATGGAGAGCCAAGAAATTCCAGACAAATCAGTAACAGATACCATGAACCAAGCTCAATTGCATAAGACCTATTTCTTTGTATTTTTAAAGCTCTACTATGTTAATGTAATAGCTTCAAATACATCTCAGCTCACCAAAATTTTCACTATCTGCATTTTGTTTTCTATTAATATTTATTTAAGTACCGAAAGTTTCTCATACAATTTTGTCATCATGCAGAGAGTGGTAGGTGGAGTAGTTTTTAGTAGAGGTTCCCGAAGACCCTAAAATTATTGCAAGGGTTCCCTAGGGGTAGATAGGATGAGAGATCCTGCTCCAGAGAGTCAGGTAATTTATTAGCACTTAGATAAGAGGACCAAAAAAAAAAAAAGCTGTATGTGCGCAGATATGTACAAAATATTTACGGTGTATCTAAAAAAAAGTTAAATGTTGCAGGGGAGAAACAGAATATAATCTTAAAACATCACAGTTCTTTTATATATACCAAGCTTACCTGGTACCCCCAGTTGTTACCACTTTGGTACTTAGAATACTGATTGCCTGAAACTGAGCTGTTGCGATTCATATTGTAAGAATCTTCCAGGGTTTCATATGCAGAAGAAGCTATCAAAGGGAAATGCAAAAAAAATTAGCACTGCAGTAGTATGCATTATAATAAATAATTATAGCAGCTAAAACATTAAGAGGAAAACTAACTTACTGTAAAAAAAAATTACTAGTTGTTATGGCTTGTTCTCAGATAATTGTACTATTTCATTGTCACATAAATGAATGAGTGGCTTGGCTTGTACCCAGGAAATTGAAAAAGACTGTCCCTTATAGGAATTTTGTGAAGTCTTACTTTAATTAGCCCCCTTCCACTTTGAGTACAGCCCACCCAGTCACATACCTTAAGAAAACCTCTGACAGGCTTCACTTGTTCCTGTGCATGTGCACCACTGCCCTGTTCATGAACCATTGGAGACAATAGTGAGTATGGCCATCCCTTAGGAATACATGGAGCTGCAAAGACCATGTGCAGTACTAACAGGAGCTTATTGGAGGGTTTTTGTGCAAAGGGGAATTAAAAGACAACTTTGCTAGTGGTAAGAGGGTCACTTTATAGAAGACACGAGAAGATCCCATACTCACATTTCTCACATTACCCTACCATCCAGATATGTTGTTAGAGCCCTTGCTTCTCAGAATACGGCATTTTGAGCCTCAGATGACAAAAACAGGCCTAAGCCTTGTTGTGTGGGGGTCCTATGTAGGTTTAAAACTTCCTAGAAACTTACACTGGAGTTAAAAGTGCACCTGTGGCCAGACTATGTAAAGCCTCAGGGCAGCAGAAAGAAGAGGGGCAGCACAGCTGCTGGGAGGGTATTTATTTTCTACATTTAGCCCTGCTTCAGGCAAGCAGGGCTAAATGCAGAGCTGGGAAGCTGGTGTTTTAGTACAAGTGATCCCGGCGATGTCGCAGAGATCATTTGTAATATGCCTGCAGCTCTGCCCCCTACCGCCCCCCTCCATGGTCTGCTCTCACCTCACCTAGCTTCCCACTGGACGCCTCTCTTCCCGCTGTGGTTTTCGGGGTCCCCTGGCACATTCATTCAGGAACAGGTAGCAGAGCAGAGAACATCCCTTCTCTGCTCTGCTCCATGTAAACACTGAGAAGGGAGAGCTGCACTTATAGCCTTCCCATCTCAGCTGTCACAGGAGAGCCAGCACAGTACTGTGCTCAAACTCCTGTACAATAAAGAGAACCTGTCGCCTCCAAATGCTATCATACAGGGGCTTGTTAGCTCCTGTGTGATAGCAATAAAGTTAAGTAAAAAAATTGCTAAAAAGTAAAAAATAATAAAACAAAATACAAATTAAAAAATAAGTATAAATAATGAGAAATAATTCAAAATTTAAAAAGTAAAATAAATCACCATGGGGGGCAGGGCTTGGCGGGGAGGGGGGCGCATTGAAGAACCTGGCTTGGAGAGAGTATATCCGGCCCTGGCTATAGGAGTAAATCAAAGCTTGTTTTAAGGTGCTTCTACTTTAATGTGCAAGGGGCTGGACACAGGTTCACATTAAGAGTTTCCTAGAGACAAAATGGGGCAGTAGGAGAACACAAGGAAGACAGACAGAGAATGATAATTGTGTTTCCTGTTAACTTGCCTACTATGGGAATAGTCCAGATTCACTCATAACACAGTGCAGTCGTGAAAGAAAAAATTAAGAAAAAAAAGGGTTGGATTTATAAGGGAGTGAGTTCAATTAGAAATCATCACACTTACCAACATGAAAATGGTACACTGCAATGACAATGCAAAGCTAAAAAAAAGTATTTAAACACACTTAGGGGACTAAGTCTACCTCCTCATGCAGGCAACAATCTATTCCACTATCTTTTGGTATAACTGCTGATCTGGAAATTCCTTTTTGCTTAAAGCCTTCCTCCAGAATAAAGTTGAACCCCTGCCCACCACTCCCTCCTGCGCCCCACTATCTGATCTCTGGATAAAGAAAATATCTATCTAAAAGCCCTTTTTACTTACTATAAGCCAAGGTCACATGACGTCACAGCCTTGAGTCTTCTCTTTTGTTTACTTAATGCGTGGGTCCTTTTTTGACTGTCCACGTCAGCACCCACATGACATAGACAGTTCCTATTGGATGTCCATTGGTCAGGGTCCAGAAGAGGACTGATGTCAGTGGAGGGGAGTGAAGGGAACCAGTGGTCTAAGGTGCCATTGCATTGTCAGATTTGTGGACTACCCCCACCTGGAAACAGTGGTGGTGAGAGACCTAGAGGGGGAACTTAGGAGAGTATATCTGACTTCACGAGGTAAGGGGAAACAAAAGCCTATGAGAATGGGTCAAAAGCAGGTGGGAGGGAGGGGTGTTAAAAAATACTTTTTGACTGATGTTGGGCTTTAACTGTTTGTAATGACAGAACGATGTTCCCAATATGTAGGATCCTTGTAGCTTTTTACATACAGAAAGTTTGTGGTATCACAAGTGTCAGTGATAAACATTTCTCATCAAATCATTCAGATTAAAACCACCCATAGAAAGAGGATACAGCAAGCAGAAAGATAGGAAGTTAAAAAAAGACAGAGAGCAATCTACCCATCCCACAAGTACAGAATTCTTTGAAATCTACCTGCAGTAGAATACAAAGAACTCAAATGAATGTAATTGAGTAGACTTTCTGATTTTAGTACAATCTAATTGTTTGCTGGTTAACATTGAAAGTTTACTGGATGGTTTTGTTGGGAATACAACAGCTTGTGCTAATGTAACAATGTATTTTGAGCACTAGATTTCAGTGCTTCATCTAAACACATAACCAATAGGTTATGGGCCACGGCACTAAAGAGAACACTGTCAACAAGAGCTTCATTCAGGCTGCTGAAAAAAGTAAGCAGTTCAGATATGAAGTTTGCAATCGCAAAGCTCAACAATAGCAACTACTAGCCACGGAAGTTCAAGCTTTAAATGCTGCAAAGCAAAGATGAGTTGTGGCAAGTACTGAGAACAGACAGACCGACAGTAATGGACCCATGGAGGAATGAGAAAAGAAGAACAGGCAAGCAAAAGTAATTATACGTCTGCTAGTGGAAGACGGCCAGCTCATCCACATAAGACAAGAAAATACAGCTAAAGGTATGTGGACTGCATTACAGAAACTGCATGAGTGTTCAAACCTAAACAGTAAACTATATCTGTTATGCAAGCTAATGCGTGAACATGTGAATGCATGCTGGAAATCATAGAACAACTACGTGCAATTGGAGAGGACAGTAAAGATAACCACTTGGTAGCATTACTGCTATGCAGCCTTTCAGAGTCATACTATGCTCGTATTAATGCTCTAGAAACCAGGCCTGAGCAGGAAATAACAGTGGAATAAGCCAAAGGAAAATGAATCTAGGAATATGACAGAAGGAAAAAAATATGCACAATGAAGAAAATGAGAAAGCCCTCAAGGTGCATGAGAGCACAAAGCAAAACAAAGAAAGCAGAGTGTGTTTTTGCTGCAAAAAGTCTGGTCACTTGAGAAAGCAGAGTGTGTTTTTGCTGCAAAAAGTCTGGTCACTTGAAAAAGGACTGTTCAATCTGGAAAGCCAAGCAGCGAAAGCGAGAGGCACCTACAAGAAAAAGAACTAAGGTAGCTACCAAGGAAACTGCAGGCACATCATGGACCTTTAAAGTGACTCAGAACAGTATACCACACGGATGGTGTATTGGCTCAGGTGCAACAAGCCAAATCACTAGTGATGAGACCTACTTCACAGAAATTCATCTCAGTGCAAAGGACGAAGTTTTACTAGCAAATGAGAACCTCATTTGAAATGTGGCATAGATCGAAGCCTAGCCTAGGGCACATCAGAGTGTTTGGATGTAAAGCTTATGCCTATATTCCAAAAGAGAATCGTTCCAAGCTGGAGAACACAGTCATAGAATGTATTCTGGTGGGCTGTAGTGAACAAAGTAAGGGATATAGAATCCTCCACCCAAAGACTGGCTTTAGTGGAATAGTGCAGCATAGCAATAGCTGGATGAAAAACTGAAGTGCTAAACAGCAAGGCTGTGCAACTACTGTGCACTTGAAGCCTATTTTTAAATCTGACCTAAAGTGTACCGACTAGTGACCATGCCACCTCAGATCACTTGTACATAATGAGAACACTGTAAGAGAAGAGGTAATATACTTACCTTTCTGGCGGTCCATGTTTTGAAACACTGCTCCTTTGCATTTCCCTGGTCACTGCATGTTTTCCACACACCTGGGTGTGTAGAACAACTTCTCCTCCGCTGCATGCTAGGGTTCAACTTTCCAGCTTGTATGTTACTACAGGACATACAAGCTGGCAGGAAGAACCACAACATGACAGGGAAAAGAGGGGGAAGCGGGGATGATGTTCCGGCATTCAACACACCCATACGGGTTGAATATGTGCATGGTGGGTTAAAGCAAAGTAGTGGTATTTTACACAAGATGCCAGAAAAGTAAATATATTACCTCTTCTTTTACAGGGTTACCATTGTGTACAAGAGACCTAGGTTTGCTTAAATTATCTCAGAGGAGTATAGAATGTTTACTGCAAAATGAAATGTTTACTTGACTTAGAGAATTAGTTATGTTCACTCTGAGTGTCCAATCACGGGCAAGTGAAAAAAAATTCAAGCCTTTTGCTTTCACATACCTGGACATGAGGTTTTACCTTATTCACTAAGCTAAATGAAATTTCACTCTAAAAATTAAACATGTTGTATAACTTTAGTAAATGGATTCCATGGCCTCAGTTGTCTATCACATATAACGAGAAAAAAAATATTCTGAAGTAAGTTCATAGACCTTGGACATTCCTAGAAGCAAGCATTGCAGTGGCAAATCTCAGAAATAAAGATTAAATAAAGATAATTAGGGAGAACTGGAAACTACCAATCTGCTTACTTCAAAAAAGCCAACTTTAGATAATAATGTGTAAAAGAGATTTTAGAAATATTTCCCAATCTCTACTAGCAGCCAATATTTAACTAACTTTTGTACAAGTTTTAGAATGGCTCAAATATAGTAGAAACAAGCTGCTGCAACATACAGTAACATAAAGGTATTCTTGAAATAATTACTCAAGTAGCCTTTCACTGACAAAAACTTGAAGAACTTGAATTTTTCCCCAGGCACCGACAATCATGAACTGTACACTACTTCGTAAAATGGAACAAAGAATGAAAAGTAAAAGGTGAAAAGAAGGAAAGGCAGAATATATTATATATAAAGAGAGAGAGAGTAGAGGTTAGCAATGCTTGACGGCCGATATATTTTGCCACTATTTGGGTTGTGGTCCCTTTAAGGGCCACCAGAGGGGTTAATCTTCTTGCCACAGGAAGCAGTTTAAAAGGACAGCAACTCCAGAGAGGATTGGGGGAGTTGAGAAGAAAGTAATCAGCTGTGGCTAGTGAGAGGTAGACCTGCTGGATTGCTGTGTTGCTGGATTGCTGTGCTGCAGTGCTGCAGGACTAATATTCCTGGGAAGGAATTTCCCCAGGATTTTGACTTTTATACAATTTGATGATTCATCTTTATGTTTTGTTATCTGTGACGAAGATTTGGACTTTTACTTTAAGTTTGCTGAAGATAAGCATATATTTGTGTTTACTGTTTTTTGGCTGCCCTCATTCTCCACCACTTGTGAAGTTGGGGAGCTCACAGACCCCTGCACAGAGGGTTTGCATAAAACAAAAGCTTTTATTTTCTTCTTGCAAGGCAGCCAAAAACGGTAAACTGTGAGTAGCAGTGTCTCTATTCCATAATTTCTTGATTCTCAACTGGTGGGTCGTGACCAAAAAGTGGGTCGTGACCCCGTGTTTAGTGGGTCGCCACATGTCTTCCCCTTTTCTAGGTGAGAGACTCCTCTGCTTCCCCCTAGTGCAGCACTGTCAGTTCTCATGCCAAGCAGCCATTAAAAATATGCTGCCCGATGCCGAGTGTCAGATTGAGGTGGCATGGGATGGGGCTATGACCGCGAGGGAGCTCCATATATACGTACATACAGCTCCCTCATGTGTCCTATAGAGGTGCTTGGGCCGGAGTGACATCACATTCTGGATCCCGGCACCTCTACAGGGCATGCAAGGGAGCTGTACAAGCAATGGATTGAGCTCCGTCACAGTTAAGCAGCCCACACTGGACCCCAGGCTGAGGATCCACTCCCGTTCTCGCAAAGGTAGGGAGAGTGGGTGGACCTAAAAATGTTTTCAAAAATTAAATGTTTTTTGGAGTGTGTGTATGTGTGTGTGAGACTGTCTGTGAGTGTGTGAGATTGTGTTTGTGGTTGCGTGTGTCTGTCAGTGTTTTTGAGGGCCTGTTCACACTAGTACAGTGCGTTAATTGCATAGTACTGTGCGATTAACGCACTGTGCCAAGCAATGGCACCTACCCTGCATTCTGGTGTGGGAGGTGTGTTAGATTGCCGTTCATTTGAATGGTACCCCAAACGCACCTCCCACTCACAGCTCTAACGCCCGCACTGGAACGTGCGGTACCCTAATTTTGTGCATTCCATTGCAGTGCGACTTGGGTCACGACTTAATGACCAAGGACATATGTGGGTCCTAAGGTTACACAGGTTGAGAACCACTGCCATAATTGATCCTCTGCATCTTGGAACCCACATGCCATTTACAGTGTCTGACTTTTCACACACACAGTTAACATGACTATCTTTCTAAGAGATCTCATGTTCTCACTGGCCTATCTATGTCCAAAAAACCACTGAACGTCCTGCTGCAAGTATCAGCTTGGCATGGATTCCCATGCAGTGGGGAAGGGCCTGCTGCTCATATAGGCATGTAAACAGCACCTGTTACCTGTTCACAGACTAACTGATGTAGATGGTACACAATTTTACTCCACATAAAAATGCTTTTTACTGTATATTGTATGTTAATAACAAATGCAGTAATATTAATTCTTTCAGCTTAGTGGCTTTGTTTCCTCTATCAATACTGTTAGTACATTGCAGTCCTAACATCTGGCAACAAATAAAGCCAGCCTTAGCCAGGGATATGTCACAAAGATACACATTTCATTAACAATTTTTATTCCAGTAATATCCTGTATCGCCACAATCTCCTAACACTACAATTGCCAGATTTGCATATTTCTCATGGTTTAATTTAGTTATAAGCCCACAGGAAGAAGCAGACTGCTAGAAGCCCCCATGCAGTGGGATAAATTGGGCTCTCTAGCACCATGTCGTCTCCTAGCAAGTTTATGTATACATGGCTGTAAGCTACTTTACATACTGTCCCATGATGTCACCAGCAGCACTGATAAAACTGCTATTGTGGACCACAAACATTTGCTTAGCATGGTGCTCTCCCTGTCAGTGGACTCTTGTAGGGGCATCTGGCAACTCCATAATGCTACCTTTGGTACCACATGGTTTCCTAAACTGAGGCAACTCTATCTTGTAATGCTCACATCAGGTTGTGGTTATAAATTGTATTAAAAATAATGTGTTTATTGCGGAAGGAGAAGTGGGAACCTTTATGTATAGTGTTATAAATTTTAAAGATAAAGCCCTTTAAGTCATTATTTCACAACATTTTAATCTCACAGTTCTGTTACTTAAGACCTGGTCCCACCAAAACTGCACTAAAACACATGGAAACGCATGTGTTATGACATGCATTTACATGCGTTTTCTTAGGGGCACCACCATGCCGACTATCAAAAGACATGTGTTTGCATACATTTACATGCATTGCGAAAAATGCAGCTTCCTCTATTTTTTCAAAATGCAATGCAAGGCATTGGTGTGAACTACACCATTAAAAAAACATTGGGGGGAATTTATCAAAACTGAAGTAAACAGAATCTGGAGCAGTTGCAGATGGCAACCAATCAGCATCTCTCTTCAGTTTGCCCAGGTAAGATTTGAAAATGAGGCTGCAGTCCAAATCTGCTCCAGATTTTGTCTGCTCCAGTTTTAAACAATTCCCCCCATTATGTTTTGTGTAGATGCATTTTTCATGCATTTAACAATGCATTGCATGGGAATAGGTCCTAAAAGTAGCCTCTAGACATCCACTTTGCCCAGTTATGCTGCTTACATTTGCAATGATCATTGAATGTAGGTTTGTAAACACTCCTTGACCTTGTCAGCCATCACCTGCTTGACCTTTGTTAAGGGAATTACATTGGCTTGGATTCCTCTTCTCTTTAACCTAAAAAAAAAGTGTCAGTAGGAACCTATCAATTGCCATGCTGCCAGATGACATTGCTGACTGATTACAGGCTTATTATTGATTACTGTGTTCCCATTGCTATCTCCAGAAACCTATATATGCATGCTTGGCTGATCTGCATGAGTATGTGTGTAGAAAAACCTTTTAGCGGTAAGAAGGTATCGATCAACACATCATTTATTAGCAGTGTGCAAGGGAACTGCGTAGAGGCTATTTAAGACATGTATTTGAAAATACTATCCACCAACATCATCTGCTGCTTTTTGACAGAACTAGTGTCGATAGTATGAAAATAAAAAATATAAGACACCAATCAGCGTTTACCTTATAAAGATTACAATACAAAACCAAATAATAAAAGAGCATTGGTATTACTTTAATTGCATTCTAAATTCACATACTGGTGAACTGTTCAGACTACATAAAGCCCTCTGGCTTTTCTGACTTTTGCGGTCACTGCAAAATTCCATATGCTATAGAGTACAAAATATACCATGCAATAGGCTCCTGGCTAAGAGCGGCAAAACACTCCACCTAAGGAATCCCATTCATTTCTAATGCCCCCGTTCACACCTGTCAGTTTTGTCGCAAGCAGAAATATGCCTTTCACTTGAAATAGTACATGAGCTACTTTTGGGCAGATTTCAATGCGTTTTGTCTCCATAAACTCAAAAGAAACGCGCAGTGTGAATACTTTTGTGCATTGTTTCAAACGCTCTAAAAAACACACTAAAACGCTAAAAGGAAAACGTGCATAAAACGCCTAGGTGTGAATGGAGCCTAGGAGTACACTATAGTCATTGCAGCTTACAAATTGCATTTGTTTTTATAAGTCAACCCATTGAACCTAAACCAGCTCATGAGAAACTCGGTGCTATGGATTTCACTGCAAGGCCGTGTGATCCTATCTAAAAAAAAACCCATTAATTGCCATAATGGAGAACCCAAAGTATACACTGAACGTCTCTATTAGACATGGACCCTGTGACATCAGCCTAAGTAAAAATAAATAATATGACACTAAACGCTTGTAAATACCTGTGACACTAAACTCAGGGGTTTAATCTTAAAATGCATTTAAGTACTCTAACTATTAACAAAGAATGTATCTTATTTGTGTATCACTCAGCTGTAGATCCTCAAATTATCTCTGAATTGGTGCTGATACTGTCCTTCCGTCTGGAGGGTGGCTACTTTTAGTTCCTGTGTGTGTTGTAAAGTAGCCTCCACTCCAAGCTCACTCCTGTGATGGACTACAATCCCAAATTTAGTTTACTCGTTTGTATTGAGATTGTAGTCCACCATGGGAGCAAGCTTAGGTACTTAAATGCCTTTTTAAGATTTAACTCCTGAGTTCAGTGTCACTTTAAAAGATCCATGTGACCCAAGTCTCTCAACCCAGCAAGCCCTGTAACTTGAAGTGCAATACATCCTGTACTAAATCATCCTCTTTGTTAGGTTGAAACCCAGGTAGTAGCAGAATCAGTGCACTATTTTAAAAACTATTCTGCAAGCAGACAGTAGAATACCATTCCCATTCTCACAATGTTTCTATAATAATAAAGTAGGTAATTGTAATTCTTGTCTCTTACTGGAATGTTAAAAGCAAAAGCAGAAACATTCACAACGCTGAATTCGCTACACTAATTTTGGTTTTCAGTAGCTTGCTAGTTTTTTGTTTCTTTTTCACAAATGTTTACGTCATATAAAGGACATTTTATTTTTGTAGTGTCATTTCTGTTTAAGTTCTATATTGCCAATTACCACTTTTCTGTAAAGAAGCAGTGTTCTTACCTCTGTTGCCATAATTCATTGTAGAAGACTGAGCAGCTCTTGGCTTTTGCCTCTTCACTGTCATCATCACTTGTTCTTTGACCCGCTGGTCTCTGCCCGTACCACTTTTCAGATGGATGTCTGAGGGCAATGCCAGAGAGGATTCATTTTGCCACACAAAGACTTCTGATGCTAAAGCCGTTTTCATCGGGGATGGTGAGTTCAACATGGCCAGAGGCTTTCCTATACGTCTATTAGCAGAACTGTATGGTTTTTAAAGGTTTAAAAACCTAGCTGTATAATTGTACAAGACTAAATCCCAAGAAAATGGATACTTGCTCTCCTCTACACTTCCAGAAGTGTCTTGTTCTGACAGCTTCCTCAAAGCCTGTACAGGTCTGAAAAGGTGTATCTGCACTTGGATGACACGCCTCAATACTCCCAACCCCACCCTGGTTGTGACTAAGAACTAGTTGATACAAAATAGCATAGATCTAAGTTCGCACAAAAAAATGGATGGGATGATACATATAGGCTAGAAAAGAGCTGGCTGCAATATTCAACAGATTACACTGTAAAGTTATTTTAAGAATTCAGTGGTGTATACTACTCGCTAGCACATAAGTTAACTATTACAGTTATGCCATATTGATTTCCTATTTTGTAGCAGAAAAATATATAGTGGGTCACTTATGCACATAGAACACTTATTCATGTAATCCAGATGCTCTACAAGTAATTTTTGTATTATATAACATAGGGGTGTCAATTTTACACATAATACAACATATTCACGTATTGTGTCACATAGCTTGTTACACGTTCAGTGTTGTACACACCCAGGTCACATGTATGCATAATCATGCTGTCACACACGCTTACTTTGTAGACGAAGAACCACACCTTCCTCATCAGACACAACACAGACCTCAGACCTCCTCTCCAATATGACATATGCCCTACTAGTGCCTAGACGATAGCTAGCTTTATTGTCATTTGATTACTGTCGTGTTGTCTACTTCTACCTTATTCAAAATAGTTTTTTTTGTAGCTAGGGCACTGTACTACTGCCCGCTGTCTACCATAAAAGTTTGATTTGATGTCACCTTGACCCCAAAAATGACTCAAAGACAATAGATGAACGTAGAGATCTATTATGTGTCATGAACAGTAATAATGCACAGGTGAGTCTCTTATACACAGTGTCCTTGAAAAATTGTCTGCTGCTTATCTATATCTATATAAAAACATATCAATCTATATAAAAACAAAATGCAATTATTTGCAAATCTCATAAACCCATATTTTATTCACAGTAGAAAATAGAACAAATATCAAATGTTTAAACTGAGAAAATGTACAATTTTAAGGAAAAAATAAGGTAATTTTGAAATTGATGGCAGAAGCACGTCTCAAAAAAGTTGGGACAGGGCAAAAAAAAGCGGGCAAAGTAAGTGATACTTAAGGTGCCCTGCCCATACACCTTACGATTATCGCACGATTCTTTTCATACGATGATCGAACCTTCATTCGATTTTCATACAACTGCCCATCATGTACAGACCATTGTGGGTTTCAATTAGCGTTCGTTAGCAATATCACCTTGCTGAATTTCGGTGATTGACAGAACGGATTTTCGTTTGCGCATGAGCAGTGTTCTCGTTGTGATTTTATTTGTAGGAAAACGCCACTAATCCATCGAATTTTGTATGATTCAATAACATTTTTCTAGCCTGCTGGAAAGACAAAAGTTGAACGGTTGTACAGTAATTGCGGTTGTGCACTTCCCATCAACTCTGCGATTATCATACGAAAACACGATTGCAGGCGAAAATCGTGCGATAATCGTAAGGTGTATGGGCACCTTTACAATCAAGTGCTGGAAGAACATTTTGGAACTAATTAGGATAATTGGCAACAATTCAGTAACATGATTGGGTATAAAAAGAGCATTTAAGGGCTAGTTCAGAACAGAACTGCATCAGCACAGCATGCGTCTGCACAGATGCGGGGCGATGCATTTGCCTGTGATTTTACCGCAATTTTACTGCGATTGATGCACTTTTGTTGTTTTGGGGTTTTATTTGCTAAGGGCTAGTTTAGCCACAGTGCGTTCTGGTCCGATTGGGGCCGGAATGCACTGGATTGCATTGCGGCCGGCTCAATTTGTGTTGGAGCAGGAGGGGGGCATGGCATTGAACTCAATAGCACCACGCCCTCTGGCACCAGTACGATTGGCTGCACGGGAATGCGTGGCACATAGTGCCTGCAGCATTTTTTCTGAGCGGACCAGACCAGAACGCAGGCACTGATGTGCCACGTGTTCCCGTGCGGCCGATCGCACTGCGACCGGAGGGCGTGGCTGCGGTGTCATTGCGTTCAATGCACGGCCATGCCCCCTCCCGCCCCAACACAAAGTGAGCCAGCCGCAATGTGATCCAGTGCGTTCTGGCCCCAATCGGACCGGAACGTACTGTGGCTGGTGTGAACTAGCCCTTAAAATGGGATTTCAGGTGCCTTCCAGTGTGTTCACATGTGTTTTGATGCTTTCTGTCGCAATCCAATGCAGCTAAAATAGGGCAAGTAGTTGTTTTTTTCTGGCTGCATCTTAATAGACTGCTCTGGTGTGAACAGAGCACAAGAAATACCTTAGGAAAGCATGGTGATGCGTTTTTGATGCAGCTGCAAAACGGAATGAACTGCATCACAACTGCATCTGGTGTGAACTAGCCCTGAGAGAGTCAGAGTGGCTCAGAAGTAAAGATGGGCAGAGGTTCACCAATCTGTGAAAAGCTGCGTCTAAATATTCTCCAACAATTTCAGAATAATGTTCCTTAACATAAAATGTCAAAGACTTTAAATATATCATCATCTACAGTACATAATATAATCAAAAGATTCTGAGAATCTGGAGAAATCTCTGTGTGCAAGGGACAAGGCCAAAACGCAATATTGGATGCCCGTGATCTTCGGGCCCTCAGATGGCACTGCATTAAAAACAGGCATGATTCTGTGATGGACATCACTGCATGGGCTCAGGAATACTTCCAAAAATCACTGTTTCTGAACACAGTTCGCTGTGCCATCCAAAAATGCAAGTTAAAGCTCTAATATGCAAAGAAGCCATATCTGAACATAATCCAAAAAAGCCGCCATCTTCTCTGGACCAAAGCTCATTTAAAATGGCCTGTCGCAAAGTGGAAAACTGTTCTGTGGCCAGAGGAATCAAAATGTGACATTCTTTTTTGGCAACGATGGGTGTTGTGTCCTCTGCAGTACAGAGTAGAGGGACCTTCCGTATGTTATCAGTGCTCAGATCAAAAGCCTGCATCTCTGATACTATGGGGGTGCATTAGTGTGTATAGAATGGGCAGCTTGCACAAAAATATGTGTTTCGGAAAATGAAACAAATACAAAATTTTAAAAAATGTATTCGTTTTGTCCAAAACAAATTTTTATGCTGTGCACATGTCTAATATCCAGGTTTAGAGCAGCATATTCTCCCATCAAGATGACGTCTTTTTCAGGGATAGCCTTTTATATTTCAGCAGGACAATGCTAAACCGCATACTGCATCTATGAGAACAGCATGGCTTTATAGTAGAAGAGTGCAGGTGCTTAACTGGCTTGCCTGCAGTCCAGACCCGTCACCAACTGAAAATATTTGGTGTATTTTGAAACAAAAAATACAACAAAGAAGGCCCAGGACTGCTGAGCAGTTAGAATCCTATATCAGGCAAGAATGGGACAACATTCCTCTCCCAAAACTCCAGCAACTGGTCTCCTCAGCTCCCAGACGTTTACAGAGTGTTGGTAAAAGAAGAGGAGATGCTACACGGTGGTAAACATGGCCCTGTCCCAACTTTATTGAGAAGTGTTGCTGCCATCAATTTCAAGATTACCTAATTTTTTTACTTAAAATGGTACATTTTCTCAGTTTAAACACTTCATATGTTTTCTATTTTCTATTGTGAATAAAATATGGGATCATTGCGTTCTGTTTTTATGTAGATTTTACAGTGTCCCAACTTTTTTGGAATTGGGGTTGTAAAAACAAGAATCCCAGAAACTGTGAAGCAAACTAAAACAACATTTGTTCTCCATATTGCTTGGCACAGTGCTTTTGTTATCTGATTGATGCACCAGGCTGTTATTAATCATTGCTTTAACACTCCCTGCTGGTTGGGGCATGGCCGGGATGTGAAGCAGGAGCACCGTCTCTGCACTAACCTTATCCTGCAGATATCCTGCTCGTTCAGACCCGGGATTTACTTACCTAGGTTCCGTGGGACGTCCGGTCCAGTGAGCCATGTCCTACAGGTCCGGTAAGCGCACAGACACGCCGAAACGAAGCGGGAAGAAGTCCAAGGGTGCGGCCTCGGGTGTGTCCGGCGCCATCTTGCCTTCTTCACCGGCTGCCTGTGCATGCTCCTGCACAACTAGTGCCATGGAAGGGGAAACCGCTGATGCTGTGGAAGGCCCCGTGGATCTCCATGACGCCCCATGCACCTCAGGTACTGGGAAAGCTTGGACTGCCACAATCCTGGAAGCCATAGAGGGATGTAAAATTGCACTCACTGCCAAGATAGATAATTTAGCAGTGGAATGCACGCTGATCCGGCATGACCTGGACAAGATTAGGGGCAGACTGTCACAGGCTGAGACACGGGTGTCTGGGGTGGAAGATTCTGTACGGGATCATGCCAATTCCATCCAGGACACACGGTCAAGATACTGGCTGCAAAGGTGGATGATTCTGAGAACAGGCTGAGAAGGAATAATGTGCGCATAGTGGGCCTGCCAGAGGGTGCAGAGAGCTCACAGCCTCCTGCGTTTGCTGAAACCTTCTGTAAAATCTGCTGGCCCTGGAGGAGTTGCCCTCAACCTTTGTGGTCGAGATGGCCCATAGGGTCCCAAACGGCAGGATGGCCTCCGGGGCCCCCCCTGAGACCATTCCTAGTGCGCCTCATTAATTATCGGGACCGAGAAGGAATATTAGTGGCTGCTAGAGGTTATCCTGACCTCAGCCATGAAAACGCCTCAGTTCGCCTTTTCCCTGACTTCTCGGCTGAGGTTCAGAAGCGGAGGAGATCCTTTGTGGATGTACGACGCCGCCTTCGGCAGAAGGGCATCCAATACAACATGTTGTACCCCAGCAAGCTCCGAGTTCCCCATGCCGGCAAACCCCGAATGTTTGACACACCGACATCAGCTGCCGAGTGGTTGGATCCACTGGGATGAGCACATAACACCTGATACCACCTTGGAATCTTGCTTTCTAGCTTCCTACCTTTTTGCCTTATGTTTTGTTTGTTCCTGCCAGGCCTATCCTCAGAATGGATCGCCAGTGACCTGGCTCGCTAAAGAC